CTCCTTGATCTGATAACGTGAACAGATTTACTCACCAGTAGAGCATGCCAACCTACACCTTGGCACCTGGTGGCCTGGATCAGCAGCCTATGTCTAAATGAAAACCAGGATTCTCATGATTTTCGGACAAGGCTCATGATGCCGGCTTTCATTAATGAGTGTGGAAAAAGATTGGTGCTAAAAAATTCAGATTAGCCGCGCTGAGAATCACACTAGTTTGTTCATTGTTGTTGTTTACTTGTTTAGTCGTGTCTGACTCTTCGTGACCCCATGGACCAGAGCACACCAGGCACTCCTGTCTTCCACTGCCTCCCACAGTTTGGTCAAACTCATGCTGGTAGCTTCGAGAACACTGTCCAACCATCTCGTCCTCTGTTGTCCCCTTCTCCTTGTGCCCTCAATCTTTCCCAACATCAGGATCTTTTCCAGGGAGTCTTCTCTTCTCATGAGGTGGCCAAAGTAATTCATGTAATTCAATAACTGGTCCTTGAGAGCAGGTTACTGTGAAAAGCGGTTCCTAAGAAGTGACTTAAGTCTTGTTGTTCATTCCTGGCTTCCTCAGTCAACTTAGGGTTTCCGGACTGACATCAGTTTTAAGCCTCAGGGCCATAGGAAGCTATTAAATAACAGGAATGGCAGGAAACTAATGCGGAAGCTACTAGCTAGTGGTTACTGATTAAGACAATTGGCTATGGTGTCCTTACCTGCGAGTCATCCAAATAAGCATGTCACAGCACTGCCTCAGCATCTCCTAAGACGACTCAGATGAAGGAATTGAGGGGATGCTCATCAAATTTGCAGATGACACCAAACAGAGGGGCAGCTAATGCCATAGAAGACAGGACTGGGATTCAATATGACCTTAACAGGTTGGAGAACTGGGCCAAAACTAACAGAATGAATTGGGACAATTGCGAGTTTCTACACTTAGGCAGAAAGAACCAGTGATACAAACATAAGATGGGGGGCACTTGGCTTGCCAGTAGTATATGAGTCAATTGTGTGATACAACAGCAAAAGAACCCTAATGCTATTCTAAGCTGCATCAGCAGTAGTGTCTTGACCAAGGGAAGTCATAGTACCACTCTATTCTGCCTTGGTCAGATCATACCTGGAGTACTGTCCAGTACGATCCAGTTCTGGGCACCACAATTTAAGAAAGATATTAATAAGAGGGAATGTGTGCAGAGGAGGGCAACCAAAATGATAAAGGTTCTGGAAACTAGCCTTATGAGGAATAGTTGAGGGAGTTTAGCCTGGAAAAGAGGAGACTGAGAGGAGATACGATAGCCTTCTTCAAATATCTCAAGGGCTGTCATATGGAAGAGGGAACAAGCATGTTTCTCTTGCTCCGGAGGGTAGGACTCAAACCAATGACTTCAAATTACAGGAAAGGGGATTCTGACAGAATATCAGGAAGAACGTTCTGCCAGTAAGAGCTGAGGACTTCCTCAGAAGGTGGTGGGCTCTCCTTCCTTGGAGGTTTTAAAGTAGAGGTTGGATGGCCATCTGTCATGGATGCTTTCATTGAGATTCCTAAATTGCAGGAGGTTGGACTAGATGACCCTTGAGGTCCCTTCCAACTCTACAGTTCTGATTCTATAAATTCTCTTATACACACACACATATGTGTTTGTACCTGAAATTTTCATTGAACATGCAGGTTTATCTACCAGCCAAAGACTATTGATATCACAGAATGAAATAAATACAAGTTCTGTAACTTGCTAACTTTTAGTATGGCTTACTAAGAATTTGCTATTCCTGTATGTGGTTCAAACCTAAGTCAGGCTCTGTTTAGTGGAATTTCTTTCCAGGACTCCACATTTATATGGTCCTGGTAATCCACAATTTGGTTTACCTTAATATGCAAACTCAAATGTTTCATCAGGCATGATGTAGCAAATATTGAATGCCTTATTACTGAATAGAGCTTAAAATATTTAACTCATAAGAGAGGGTAAACACATATAAAGCAGATACAATCCTTTGTTCATTCTTAAGGCATTCATCTATATTTTTGCAAATTCTTTCAAGAGGATGCTTTGCCTAAATTTTTAGTTTCAAAAGGTATCCGATACTTAAGAATGTCAGGTGAGTTATAAAGATACTAATATTTCAAACACACCCTTTAATTCCACTAGAAGCAGGGTATAACGAAGAGTTTCCATTGACAAATTAACGAAACTAATGCATGCCAATAGTGAGCAAGATAACTTGAGAGTCTTTTGTGCAGATCCACTCATCTTGTTTGCAAAATAATGAGCCATTGGTTAAGTGTTTCCTGAGAGACGTAAGTAATTCTGGTCAGATAGATTTATGGCATAAATATTTTTTTAAAAATGTATAGAAAAGTTTTCTCTTTTAATAAAAATAAAACTTTAAAAAAAATAATCTCTGGCATTAGGAAAGTAATCTGTTCCTTTGAGAAAAGTATTTTATATTAACACAGAAGACTGTTTTTTAGTCTCCCCAGACAATAGAACTGTTTCGAATAAAACCAGTTTAATTTGAAGATCGCCTCCAGTTTATCAGAGCTCAGTAGATCTCAACCTTTGCCATTACTGCCAGTAGCTGGACTGAAAGCCACATGAGGGCGCTCACGTCTTGAAAGGGATTGAGTTTTTGTGTGTGAGAGACCTGATAACTAAAGAACCAGATTAGACCCTATGCAACAGAAGCACATAACAATCTCCCCCCTCCTATTGCTGCTGCATAAAGAAAAAACAGTCACAGGGGGATATATTTGGGAATGGTTAGGGGAAATAACTGCATAATCCTCTCTCCTAACCATTTTCCCGTTACAAATCATTTCCCTGCCAGCTGTTTCACCACTTTCTGGCTCTGGAGAAAAGATAACAGCGCTATCAGATTGGTTTTTCATTTATTTCTTTTTCCAAAACTTGTATCTTGTATCATCATTGCCAATCTGCATCCCCAGGGCACCCCTGCCACTTGTGTATCCCCTGTAGAACAAAACTATTATGTCTCAAATGCATCATCGCTCTTTGCTTCCTTCCACACCAGCAGCAGAGCAAGCCAATTGGGCGCCTGGGGTGGCGCATGTGCCCTACGGCCAGGGGCAGGGCGAGCCGGGACAGGATGCTCCATGGGGCCTTCGAGGAATCTGCCTGCTTCCTCCCACTCAGCCGCCCTACAGCCGCCCTGCCTCCATTGTCTTCTCCTGATAAACCTTGAAGATCTTTGGCCCATCCGTGGATTGGTTAAGAAGGCCGGATGTGTGCATTATCACTGTGACGCATAGTTATCGCTCTCGCTCTCTTTTGGAAAAAGAAAGAAACCGAGAAGACATTGTACACATGAAATTGACAAGCATGCTTGCCTTCTGTGTAAGGCAATTGCTTTGTGCTGCTAGTGGCCAATCAACATAAAGGTAATGCAGAAAGGTGACTTACAGTGCAGTGCTAATCCTGATTACTCAGAAATAAGTCCTATTGAAGTCAATGGGGCTTACTCCCAGGTAAGTGGGGTCAGGTGTGCAGCAGTGACTCAGTTGGAGGATGGTCAGGTGAGCACCAGCAGTCCACGACAGTTGTCTACTACCTGTTGTAACAACACCCAGAAGGCCAAAGCTTCGTGGTTCCTGCCTTTTAGATACTTGCTTAAAAAAAAGAAGACAAAGCTGCCATTCTTTGCCTGGATAACTGCTGAAATATATTCTAGTGGCATTTTCCACTGGGGAAAATGGAAGCAACTACTAAAGCACAGACACGCAGTTAACATCTTGTGACTTTCAGACACGCACAAACTTGAGTGACCTCACAACTTTCTTCAACGTTTATTTATCCAGCATGGAGGGAGAAAGTGATTGAGTTTCTGCCAGGCTGATATTATGCCACAGAGCTCTGCATCAAAGCTGACCTTGGATGACTCTACAAGATTATTTGTGATATTCATGAAGGACCTGGTGCCATAGTTCCATCTGTGACAAAAAAATAAATGCTTTCCAGAAGGGTAGCTGTCTTCATCTGTTGCAGCAAAAACAACAAAGTGTCTCGGGCACCTTAAGACTACAGTCCATTTCAGTGTTGCTCTGAGTTGCAGGCAGAGGTATACCCAGGCTCCCTTGTGAGGAGCTGAATCGACGCCTCCAAAACCAGCAGACACCATGGACCAGAAACTCACTCACACTTCTAATAGCACCAACTGGGGGGGGGAGCTACTGCAATGGCCCACGCTGGCAACCGGATTCTGCTGCCAAGGCCACTCAAAGGAACCTGTTCACCTTGCCCAACTGGCCCAAGCAGCCCTGGAGTAGCCCAGGGAGCACACAGACGGGCAGACAGGCTCCTAGCCACTTAGAACAAGAGTGGAGAGGCACAATTTTTGCACCCCACCCCACAACGCCTGGGCCTGCATCCTAGGTATGCCCCTGGTTTCAGGTCTATTTATGCACATGGTTTGGGGGATAGATTGTAAACAGTGAGGTCAGAGGAAAATGAAATACAGAGATCAAGAGCCAGCAATAATTGCAGTATATAATCAGCAGTGGTCATGCACAATATGGTAGTTGTTAATACTGATATCCTAGCAGTGGCGAACCAATTAACACACAGTGTGATTTTTTTTATTTTAAAAAAAACATTTGCACCCAAATTCATGTCCTCATATGATCCTCCTTGATCAGAAATTTCATATTGCAGTCTCTTATCACCCTGCAGGCCTAAAACAGCACCAGGTAGATGATACCTTATATGGTACCAATCTTGCTACCATGCTTCAGGGGGAAATTTTAATACAAGGCTGTTTATTGCTAAGGGAAAAAGCTGAGCTGGAAAAATCCATTTTCTCACAAGTATATCTCAGTAGCATTGAACCCCACTTAGGTGACAGTGTGTGTGTGTGTGTGTGTGTGTGTGTGTGTGTGTATAAATAATTTCACCAAAAGCTAGAAGATATTCACGCCACTCCAATATTCCAAAACGTTCTTCATAATAACTTCATAACAACTTAAATGAAAACCACACATGCAAGTTGCAGGAGGGGGGAAATCCACTGGAAAGAAAATGTGACAGAGTTCTTTACATTACTTGTAAGTAAGGAAAACGTAGCAGAATCAAGTTTTGCATCCTTGTGATGTTTTCTCCAGAGCTCTGCTGCTATGAGCAGACAGGTGCTGTCCCTAAATCTAATTGAGGGCAAAGAACGTACAGTTGAAAATTCTCTGAGATGAGAAGCAGGAAACACCAGCTGCTTTTTAATTTTAAAGGAAATTATAACTAATTGAAATTGAAATACTTTATGTCACTTGTACAACTTGTGTACAATGAGATTACACGAGCACCCTCCACTCAGCTCTCTTAGTCTTAATTCCCCTTGTTTACTGACACATACTCCATGTCTCATGATGTCTCATGCCCGTTTGCCTTTCACCTGTGTTGAGACTGTCTCCTATATCTGCCACCTACTTTTCACAGGCCTGCCCAGTTACCAGCCAATTAATACTAGTTTATTCTTGACATTTACATGAGTTTATTGGAATAACAGCTGAACTGTCAAATCATGTTTAAAATGCAAATCCTTTTAATTACAAGCTGAATTACAGCCCTTGCTCTTTCTGACAAAACCCTTGTTCATTTCTATAGTTATTCATTTCCATGCACTGTAATTTAATTCACTCAATAACTTTTAATCAAAATGTCGGTTGTAGGGAAACAGAAACACCTCCCTCCTTCCCAGAGCAGGTTAACAAGATTGACTTGTACAGTTTTCAGAATAATTTTCTTTCGTATTAACATAGGTCTGTCCGCAGAGGCCAATTTTACTCTTAAGAATTCTAATGAAATTAATCAAGGGAATTAAAATGGAAATTGCTACTGGAAAGCGAATGTGACCTTTTGGCAAGCAGATGCTACAAACTGCTCTCTGCTTGTACAAAGAATTAATAGAGGAAGTTGATCCTTGCTTGATGGGGAACCACTGAAAATCCTAACGTTCACATACAGTCCTAAGCTGCCATTTGTCCTATTTGGGGGGAAAACATAAAAACAAACATATGGAGAAGGGGGGGAAAACCAGTTATGGAACATTACAGTACATAAAGGATATATAAGTAGTCTTCAGATAAGCATACAGGTTTGAAATTCATGCTTCTCTTGTTGTCCACCATGGCTTCTGGCTGGGTTGAATATCGAGCACATATGAATATTTAACCAGTGAAGTAGTTCTGTGGGATGCCTTTCACACCCAGTCCTGTTATCTGCCAGAGAACAAGAAATAAGTCACAGATTGCTAGCTAAGGCATTTAGAGGGGGTGCTGTAAGTGTCACTGCAGGCTACATCCCAAACTTTCTAAACTGGGAGTTAAAGAGAGAGTTTGTGTGTCTGTGTGTTTGTGCAGGCTGGTGGGAGAGGGGGCTGGGGAGTAGTCCATCACCAGGACATGATTTCATCATCTGATCTGTCACTGCATGCACTGATCCGTAGCTTGGCCTATCCATTTGTGCCACATTTGGCAGGCAGATATGAATCACCAGTCACTGCTTAGAGCAGGAGGTTTTTAGGAAATAGGAAAATCAAGGTGTTATAAGAAAAAAAAACCTGCTTCTTTTTCCTTTATGGGGTACCCAAGAGCCCGTACAGAGTCCTTATTTAGGTTCCCTATTGGTAGGAAAAAATAACAGAGGCCATCCAGAGAATATTGAGAAGCAAAGCAGCTAGTAAGCCTGATCTTTATTAAACTGTTGCAACGGGGTACTCAACACACCCCCCATGCAGGAGGGAGGGAGGAACCCAGAACAATGGTGTGCAAGCCCTTATATAGACCTGTAGCTCAAGGCCACCCCACTGAAACATCATACATACATCACAGGAGGCGGTCAACAGCAGAGGAGGCGGTCTACAGCAGAAATTCTGTCTGCCAGATACCTGATAATGGTCACTCATTGCATTTTCTGGGCAGTCTGGCCATTCTTTTGTGATGGTAAATACTCACTTCCTGAATCTCATATGCATATTGATAGTGTGCTCAGCTTAACAGATACTTGCCAGACTGTATTAGAAAAGGGGAAAGCCCCTACAGTCCAAAGACAATGAGAAAGCTTTTTCGATTTCCTTCCTCCTTGCAGAGAAATATTTGAGGTCAATTTGGGAGAGTCAACATGGTTTCAGGACTGTTTTCGTGTACAGTTTCAGACATGTGGCTTATATATTTATGTATGTGTCTGCCTGGTACAAAGCTGCTAGACCATCAGCTGCTCCATTGGGTTCACCTAGGCCTCAGGCTAGGTACAGGTGAACTGCCAAGGCCTTGTTAGTATGCATGCATGCACGCGTGCACACACACGTACATATCATAGCAGCAGTGAGCAGTCTGGAGTCAGGAGCCCAGAGAAAGTGGCTATTAGAAGCTCATCTAGGATGCTAGATATTCCTGGAGACAGGAAGGCAACCGTGGACAACTACAGAAAATAAGACAGAGCACAGAAAAAAGGACAGAGTCCCGATTCCTTCTGAGTGAACTGTCAACACAAATGCCTAAGAAATTTTGAAAATTCAAGCCACACCATGTTGACTATCATAAACTCTGCTGGGCCAGGGATTTCAACACCCACTTTTCTGCAGTTTTACAAACTAATTTTACATTATTCACATTCTGCTGAATGAATGTTATGCTTGGTTCATTTTACAAAGCTCAAATTGTTTACCTTGAAAATTTCCCCAGCCTGGTGTTCCTTGGCTAGTGCATCGCTATCCAGTCCATCGTAGGCCGAAGTGACATACATTTCTGAATAGTCTTTCCCTCCAAAGCAACAAGATGTGATCCTGGAAGCAGGCATCTTGACAGTCTGAATTCTTTTTCCTGCGTGAAAGTAGTTGAAAGGACAACCAAAACAAAAGTATGGGGGGAGGGCATAACAAGTCAATTGTTACTCAATGCCGATCACCTACTTCCTTATTATGCTAAATGTGTAACATGCAGGTATATATCCATTTTTTATTTCATTAAAAAATGGGTCGAGGAGCTCTGATTTTTACTGGAACCCTAAAATCCCTTCCCTCACAGACAGTGATTGGAAAACACACAAACAAAACAAAACACACATGCATGGCTGGTATTCTGAGGCATATATCAAACATTCAAATAATTTGCATAGGGTCCTGAGGTTTAAAAGGGACAGCCACATGGTTAGCCCAAATAGCACTCATTTTAGCTGTTTTGCAGTAATATTGCGATATCAGTAATATTGTGATATCCAATATCTCTTGATAAACCAAAGAGTGTATAACTCAGGAGCAATTCACTCATTATGCTTTAGCATGGACATACAGCATAAATGTTAAAAGGGTGAACATACAGGAGACACACCTATGTTTTTGAAAGCCCTGTACACTGGTATGAAATAGTTTTTTATGTGCAGGTGACAGGTACTGGCCATTTGTTAGGGTTCACTGCTGGGTGACATCCTTTAAAAAAACAACATATATTTGCCTCTCATAGTCTGTAGACTTGTCTTGACTCAGCTCACTCCAGCAGAAGGTGAACTAATGACCCCAAATCGGCAGAGAATCTCCCTTGCGTTTAATCCAGACAAGTATTTCCAGACATTTAATGATGCCTGTAAATATTTAAAGAGGTCACTAAACTGGAGTTAGTCAAATAAAAGTGCTCCATTTGTGATCTCTTCTATCTCTACCTCCCCCCCCCCGCCCTTTGGGGATCAAAAATGCAGAGTCCTCATTAATCGTTTACCTGCTTCAGGGTCGATGCGGATCACTCGTCCACCATCAATACAGGCCACCCAGAGTTTCCCTTCTCTATCGATGCACATCCCATCAGGCATCGCCTCCTCTTTCTCCAGCTTGTACACAGGCCTGCAACTGCAACAATCTGCATAAAGAATAAGGCAATCAGCATTCAAGTGCTTATTTTTATGCAGACTGTACTGTCTGTTGTGCTTTTCAAATTTTCCACATTTTAGAAACAATGCAAATTGCAAAAAAAAAGTTATGGGGCTTGCTTGGGGTGTGTGGGTGTGTGCATGCGCGCACACTCAATTTCACAGTGCGTACTGGCCAAGTCTTTGAATGCCTGTGGTCCTGCTCCCAGCCTTGAACGGCATGTTCAATGATCAGGGACATTCCGTTTCAGAGGTCCAGAGAGCCCTCAGCCACTTCCATATTTTGAGGGCCCTAAGGCATAATAAAAACTTTTAAATGATGGCACACGAAAACAAAATAGGGCGTGCACAAAAGGAGTGAGACATCATTAAACATGACAAAATATCAGTGAACAACAACAACAAAAATGTTTTGGTTTTAACCAAATCACATCTCTCATTTGCTTAAAGCTGAGAGCGTGTCATATTTCCGTCTGCTGCAGATAGGAACAAGTTGAGACGAGAATCAAATGCCAAAAAAATTTTGATTTTCATGCTGAGTTGGATTTTAAGACACTAACACATCCTTAGCACTTTACTGTTGCTTCCCAGGGCCAAAAACAGATGTGTGTGTTTATGAGAAATAAACACCTGTCTGTTCAATATATAGTTGTTTTCTGTTATTAAGTAAAGAAAAATGCCATATGTGACAATATGGCATATAATGGAAAGAAAAGGAACAGTCTGTAATAGGGGTGACTAACGTGGCACCCTCCTCCAGAGTTTGGACTCCAACCAGCATAGCCAATCGTCAGGGATGATGGGAGTTGTAGTCCAACAATATCTGCAAGGCTTCACATTGGCTACCCCAAAGGATAGGGTTGCCTACCAATCTACTACCAAGTATTTCTTTAGCTGTTGCAATAAACAGTTTGAAGAAGAATGTTACCAATCATTCCTGTTCGCATGTCATAGTCGAAGGCTTGCACGGCATAGGCCAGGCTATCGATGTAAAAGAAGGTCCTGTGATCAAGTGACCAATCCAGCCCATTGGAGATGTCCACCTTCTCTAACTGCTTCACGACACCACAATCAGGGAAAAGAGTATAAAGAGCCCCCTGCTGCCTTGCTCTGACTCCAGGTGCTGTCTCTTCGGCCATGGTACCTAGGGGGTGGTCAGCAGAGGCACAGGTCAGGTAATTCTCTACTGAAGGGCCCTTTTTAAAATGCACAAATAGCACTGATCCCACCCAAAGGTCAATCACTTGACTAGTGCCACACCACCACCTGTCTAATGACCTCCTAGCTTTCCTAGCAGCCTTTAGTGAGGAAGAGTGCAATCCTACGTTTGCTCAGGCGTAAGTCCCATTGTGTACGATGGGACTCACTCAAGTGCGTTGAAGATTGCAGCCATATATATATGTGTGTGTGTGTGTGTGTGTGTGTGTATGTATGTAAAGGTAAAGGTACCCCTGCCCGTACAGGCCAGTCGTGACCGACTCTGGGGTTGCATGCTCATCTCGCTTAAGAGGCCGGGAGCCAGCGCTGTCCGAAGACACTTCCGGGTCACGTGGCCAGCGTGACGAAGCTGCAGCTGGCGAGCCAGCACCAGCGCAGCACACGGAAACGCCGTTACCTTCCCGCTATTAAGCGGTACCTATTTATCTACTTGCACTTAAGGGTGCTTTCGAACTGCTAGGTGGGCAGGAGCTGGGACCGAACGGCGGGAGCTCACCCCGCCGCGGGGATTCGAACCGTCGACCATACGATCGGCAAGTCCTAAGCACTGAGGTTTTACCCACAGCGCCACCCGTGTCCCTATATATATAGCCCTCAACACACATCATACATCATGCAATGGAAGCGGCTCCATTGCATGAAGCACCAACCTCACAGTGCCCTCAGCCACCTCCCCGCATGCCAGTCTTCTTACTTACTGATATTCCAGGAGGTTAAGTAGCTTAAATCTGTTAATTTCAATGCATCTCTTCTGAGCATGACTAACGCTGGATTTCTAGCCTTTACTATGAACATTAAAATTTACATCAAACAATTAAAAAATTAAAAACCCTGCCAATTTAGCTGAAACAAAAAGGCTCCCTGGTCTTTTATTTTTAATTAGCTACTTTCTAGACCTGTGGTGAGAGGTTGAATTATAGTAATACATCATGTGTTTTAGTTAAAGCGTAAACAGTTTCACATTTGCAATTTTAAAAACAAACAAACCTGAGGATTACTATTTTACTTTTAAACTTTGATCAGAAAAATGATTTTTCATTCTCATTAGCAGTTTGAAAAGATGTTTACTGCCTCTATATTTCAGTCACTTGTCCAGTTGCCTCTGAAGAATAGAGAAACTGATGCACCTCTTCCAATAGTCTGGGATGGTTTTACTGGTAAACGGATAATCGTTTGGATTTGTTTCTATCACTGGCTCTTTTAGTATACTGAAATTGGCTCTAATAAAAATTAATATGGAGACTGTCATTAAAATGCAGGGAATTGTTACGTAAACCTCAATTATTTGAAAGTCATTACATCTACATTCATGATCTCTCTCCATAAATGAGTGGAAGTAACCCTATATAAATAGGCCAAAATCCACAGGAGCCCAGTACTTTTTATTTGGCTCAACCAAAAATAGTTAATAATAATAATAATTTATTATTTATACCCCGCCTATCTGGCTGAGTTTCCCCAGCCACTCTGGGCGGCTTCCAATCAAGTGTTAAAAAAATACAGCATTAAGTATTAAAAACTTCCCTAAACAAGTTAGCAAGCTTTCAACTTCTCAGACTGGATACTACTCTGTTGTTTACTTTACATATATATTATGGATATTATCATAGTTCTAATTCAAATTTTTTTTTGCTGCTTGGGCAATTTTGATTGTTGCCATCAAGAATTTGCATACTTGGGTGTAATCCTGGTCATTATACTGTATTATACTGTAACAATAATTGACTATTATTGTTATTTCTTAAATTTGTATACCACCCTATGTCTACCCTGCTACTATAATACTACTATAATGCAATATTTTAGAGATCATTATTGTATACACAAATGTATTAATATAGATTAATCAGTTTCATGAATTTTTAGACACATTCCAACTCATTAGGGCTATCTAAACTGAGCTCAGCATACAATTGCATTCAGATCAAATATATACCTGCATAAAAAGAACCCCTTGGGTCTACTTTTCCATCATTGAATCGGTTGTTTGGTTTATCCTGTTCCACTTCATAAATATCAGTGACTACTTGATCTTCCCAGTTCAAGAAAGCAAACTTTCTTCCTAAAGCGATCACGTAGCCACCACACTTGCGAAGGGCTACTGAGCCAACACGAGCGTCTGGAAAGAACGGACAAGTTTACAAACCAGGGCAAAATACATTGAGCACCCTTGATGAAGAAGTGCTCCCATGCAGAAATGAAGCCTGTTTGGGGAATAGTCACTGTGGGCCTCTCCAGAAACTTTGGGCCACAACTCCCATCCCTGCAGCATGTGATTGGAGACAATGGAGCAATAAACTCAAACTATGTTAAATGTCCATTCCACAAATCCCATTCCAGACTTGGGTTGGTTTCCATTTTGGCATGGGAAGTCTGCAAAATGTCATGGTCGCAGTAACTCTGCATTAGTGATGGATTTGTACTACTGCACCATTCATATATCATACCACTCCAGTAGTTGTTATGCTTCCTCTGTGTTATTGCATTATTGCTATTTGCAGGGGCATTCTTGTACTGTTGCGCAACGGGACTTGAGGAAGTTACGCTTCTGAGCACAACTCAAAGTGTTGGTGCTGACCTTTCAAGCTCTAAACGGCCTCTGCCCAGTATACCTGAAGGAGCGTATCCACCCCCATCGTTCAACCTGGACACTGAGGTCCAGCGCCGAGGGCCTTCTGGCGGTTCCCTCATTGCGAGAAGTAAGGTTACAGGGAACCAGGCAGAGGGCCTTCTCGGTAGTGGCGCCCTCCCTGTGGAACGCCCTCCCATCAGATGTCAAGGAAATAAACAACCATTTGACTTTTAGAAGACACCTGAAGACAGCCCTGTTTAGGGAAGTTTTTAATGTTTGATGTTTGATTGTGTTTTTAATATTCTGTTGGGAGCCGCCCAGAGTGGCTGGGGAAACCCAGACAGATGGGCGGGGTATAAATAATAAATTATTATCATTATTATTATTATTACTACAAGATGTGCACTGACTGGAAACAAAGTGGTAGGCTGCCTACCCAAAACATTTGCAGGCACACACGGTATTGAGAGCACGATCACATATAATTGTCCCAATATCATCATGAGCACAATGCAAAATAAAGAGGCTGCATTACCTCACCCCCACTCCAGGGCTTTCCAGCTTATAGCACAAGGCCAAAGCAAGACTACTTAACCCCTTTTCTATCTCTCAGGTGAAATCTATTCCACCATCCAAATGGGGGGTTTTTTGGGAGGGAGTTGTCCTACTTCTTTTGTGCTACAGCACAAAAGTGCCCCTTCAGAGGGCAATAATGTGGTAACACCGAGGAAAGATCGCAAAACAACATGGGTCTGAAGGGGCCTGCATCTGCCTCGCTCTCACAATCCTTGGCTGAGAAAGTCATGCCTCAGGAGTTTTCTTCCAGGTCAAAACAATTCCACAAAATAAAATGAAAAACACAATTTCCTTACCCACAGAGACACACTGAACTTCGTTGGTGACTGAGTTCCAGCGGCAAACTTTCTGTGAATTGATGTCTACGTATACAAGGGAATTCTCCCTTTCTTCCCACGTAGGGCACTCCCCCATCCTGTTCTTCTGCTTCACAACAGTCTCGATTTTAATAGAAGACATGATGACCTGTGGCAAAGAAAACAGACCGTGTACATGCTATAAAGCACATTCTTGCCCCCAGAGAATTCTGGGCACTGTAGTTCGTTAAACGTTGCTGGGAATTGTAACTTTGCAAGCGGTAAACTACAGTGCCCAGAATTCTTTTAGGGAAAGATATTCTCTCTCATATATATGAATATAGAATATATTCAAATACTGTGGTTTGCCTCTCCCTTTCTTGTTTCTGTACACGATTAAAAACTAATCCTAAAAGTAATCAAACTAATTTAGATATTCATTTCGAAATGAAATAGGGTATTATGCTGATTTAAAGCACTTACCAGCAATGACGAGTGTCACCCAAGAATTCTCCGCTAAAGGCAGTTTTATTTCTTGCTCAAACAGGAAAGGTTGCAGCAAGCGATCAGAGAAGGCGAACAGAGGCTGGGCCCTGATCTCTGTTTACATGCAGCTTTTCATAAAATTATAGAACTGTAGAGTTGGAAGGGACCATGAGGATCATCTAATTCAATCCCCTGCAATGCAGGAATCTTTTGCCCAAAGTGGGGGCACAGACATTTTATATTCATACAGATCAGACATGCAAGACACCCAATGATAAAGCCTTACTCCCAGCTTAACCACAAAGACGGATGTTTCCAACCTCAGTTAGCTAGGCATTTTCCTGTTTATAGCCATGTTTTAAAGGTCATGCCCTTGCACGCTCTTAAAACTTTCCTTTACACACCCCTTGTGTCTAGCACTTTCTCTTTCCCCGTCTTAAGCTTGCATTTCAGCATGATTACAAAGAGGATACATGATTATGGTGTCAACCTGCAACAAGATGGTGTTAGTCTTGCTTCAGTTATAACAAAGATGGAGGTGGTCGTGCTTTGGTTACAACACTAGTGAGTTATGAGAATGATCTTTGTCAATGACGCTAACAAATGTTTTGTTATGAAAAGCTTAAATTAAATAGAATGAAAAAATGCTAAAACTGATAAACAAATGAGGGGGTTTTCAAATAAGATATGCTGTTATTTATTTTATAGAGATTCCAGATATTATATTTTTAAAAATATATTAAAAATGGTATTCTCACACACACACACACACACACACACACACACAAATTCACACAGACACAGTCATTGCACAGCTGTTCAGCCATGAGGTGGACAATAAAGTTACATAGGATATGCTGGGGCAGGTGGGGAGATTAACAACATGGGAACAGCTATCTTGGGTGGTTCAGGAGCCCCGGAAGCTTCCAACATCATTCCTGATGCAGCCCCAAAACCAACTGCTGTCCCTGAGCTGCTTTGCAACATGGGATGGGAATATTACTATTCCCACCCACTGGCCAGTTGATGGCTGATCCACTGGCAGTGGAGGGAGGTGGGCAGGGCTTGACTTGGCTGCTCCTAGCCCACCTGTGTCCTAATTTTTTATTTTTATTTTTGCACTGTGTGCTTTGGAGCACCTTATTTTCAACCCATGCCCATGCAAAAGTCCTTGTGAAATGGTAATTTCCATGCCAAATCAGCAAACAAGGATTGCATCACAGACACCTGACTGCCACATTCTGTTATATTTTTTTATCTTCCTTCAGTTAGGCAAGAACTGATGGGGATGCAGGTACCCTAGTACCTCAGTGTAGAATAGTAGCCTGAGATTAGCAATTACCCGTGTGCAGAATAACGTTGCTTTTCTCAATGCCTGTGGATGGCCTTGGCTTGGAAAAGAGAATGCCAATATATTCTCGGAGAACCTCTTAGTGCCTTTCAGGCAACAGGAAAGGCAAGAAGCAGTGAATTAAGGTATCGAGCTATGAAGGAAACCCAAAAACAATGTTCAGCACATGACCGTGTTCTTGCTCAACCCCTGCTTAAATCGAAGCAGCTCCTTAAACTGACTCATTGTGTTCTGACACCTGCACTCCCAAGTTTACTATAGATACATGAATTTTTTAAATGGCCAGCCTACTCAAATCAACTTAAAATATAATTAAAAAGATGCAACAGCTGATCTTATCTGCACTTGGAAGTCTGCTGATAGCGTTTTAGAGTGAGTCAGCAGTCACATGAATCCAGAGGCATGGCATAACTCCAGAGGCTTTTCACAATAGCCTGTTCCATAATGCCAGCCATGGGATACAGCTGAGCAGTCCCCAAGTGAATAACATTTTCCTGAAGGGAAACATTGGCTGAGGTGGGCTTCAGAAGGGAGGTGAAGGCCTCAAGGAGATCACTAAGCATTCACAGTTAGCCCAGTTGGCATGTCATGGTAAACCATGGTTGATGGGTTACTGTAAATGTGCCAAAACTGCTTGCAGTTCCTTCCCACTAACACATAACAAACTATGATCCAAATTATGTCCAAATAGAGGCTTGGGGTTTGTTCTGCTCAAACAAAGCACAATTAATGAGCCTCAGCTTAACACCTTAGCTACAGAGTGAAACAAACCATGATGCCCAGTTTCTATTTATACTTTTCAAGTTTATACATTTAATTAGTTTTACAATCAATTTAACACTTCAAAGTTTGACTTCCTTCACCCTCTTTCTGCAGTTCCTTAAATTTATTTTTTAACATCTTCTGCATATCCAAATTCATTTAATTTGCTCATTTAATTATCTACTTTAAATATATACTCTCATGAAACTGCAGGTTATTACAATAATCCTGCTAATGTTTTTATTCGTTTGCAATTTATCTGTAAATATTCAAGAAACCATTTCCATTCGTTTATAAAAAGTTTGTTACCTTGATTTCTTATTCTTCCTTTAAGTTTCGCCATTTTTGCATATGTGGTTTGTTTCTCTGACATGCCAGCAGGGAAGAGCAAAGTAGACAAGACTGGCTTGTTCATAGTAAACCATGGTTTATTGTGACATGTAAAGGTCAACTATTCGTTTTGATTTCTCACCAGGCATTCAGACACACACACAGACCCACATAACTCTGGTGGCAATCTGGAGCCCTCAGGAAGAAACTTTTTAATGTGTCGAGTACTCAGGGTTGCAATCCTGAAACCTGGATGTGCCTCTTTTAAAACTCATGATGCAATGGAAGAAAATACAACCATGTGCCCACTCAATCGCTTTGACCAGCAGAACTAGCACTTCCAAATGTGTCACATAATACCCGTCCCGCATATGTAAGAACTTCATCATTTACTGTGGCAGCGTATACCCTTTGGAACTCTCTGCCTATTGAGATTAAGCAGGCGCCTTCACTGTACTCTTCTCCCCCTGGCGCCTGCTAAAAACATTCCTGTTTAGACAAGCCTACCCAGATGCTTAGAAAACTAAGATAATTTAAATCTGTTTTAGTATTTTAACTTTTGCATGTTTTATCTTTTGTAAACCACTTTGGGTTTTTTGATTTTTCAATCAAGCGGTGTATAAATTTTATGAAATAGAATGAACAAATAAACAAACAAATATCCCCAACCCATTCCCACCATGATCCTGTTGGCACATTCCCTTTATGCCCTTGCTTAATAGCACTCCTGGAATCTCATTTATACAAGCAGGTAAGAGAAGTGGGCAAGCAACAGCACAGAGGGACAGAAGCAGTTCTATCAGAGCTTTCCCAACTTTCCATATTGGTGACACACATTTTAGACATGCATCATTTTGGAACACAGTAATTCAGTTTTTCTAGCAAACCGGAGGTTAAACTAACCCTGGGAGGAGCGCAGGGAGCATTCGCATGACACACCTACACACTGCAGCTGACACACGAATGTGCTGCAACACACAGTCTGGAAAGCTCTTGAGTTATATCATTGCTGTGTGGTGACAGGTCATCTTTTTCTACCATCACATTTTACCAGGAGCTTGTCCTCTACTCACATGTACACACCACCACCAACACTATACTGACAGCCTTGTGTAATGACTACACATTACACATTTTGTTCTATTTGGAAATTAGTAATTGAACATTTACACATGTGCACAATAGGCTTCTTCAGTTCCTCCTGGTTTCCTAAGTGCCGCATCCTGATGCAGTACCCATTGGCTCTCAATTACCTGTAATTTTCTTAGATTCTAATCCTAAAACTCTGTTCTCATCTGCCGAATTATGAACTAAGGCAGTAATATTGTTTTGAGGGAGTTCATACAAACAAAAGGACCATGGTATATACCACTTTGAGGTTTTATTAAAATCAAGAGGTATATAAATGTTGCAAAATAAACAAATAATACAGCCTGTAGATAGCTGAAATTCACATTTCCAGCTCTGATATCTGCTCCAAATTATTATTTATTCTGTTTGATTTATTTCAGATCATTTGCACCTTTGCATCTATGTGGCTTTGACCACCTTCCTCCCAGGTAAGTAAAAATATCCAGTAGAATACTCACACCCAAGCTGTGCTTTTATAGCACACAATTTCCTCCAATGTATGCTGGAAACTACAGTTTACCCCTAACACAGTTACAATCTCAATTAAGAAAGCTAATAAGAAAGTAATACTGATCTTACCGTGCAGCATTCAAAGCAGCCACTTTCTCAACTGAGGACGACCTGACTAATTTTTTGGGTTGTGCATGAACTAATATACTCTTATGTGACTCCAGGTTCCCAGCCCAAAGGGAAGAGAAAAATAGTTGTAGGGCGTTGTAGCTGCTCCTCCCAAGAAAGCTGTTGTGTTCTTGCCCAATCCTTTTCAAACCATACGAAACAGATCACAACTGCAAAGTCCAATAATCTTCTAATGAGAAAGCGTGGGGATGGGTGGTAGCTGTTTTTCCACCTGAGCAATGCAGAATGAAAAATCGAATGAAAACAATTTGAGATGGTCAAGAACAACAATTGATAGACCTTATTAAGGCAGCTGTGAAGATCACTGAGAACATGGTCTGAGCACCAAAGCTGAATTATTAGACAATTCAATAATTCTCTTTCACTACTAAAAGGCTATCCTCTCCCAAGATGGACTTCTGCATGGAATTTAGAGGCCTCATTATGTTTGTTTATTCTTTCTAAATGAGAGAGTCAGTGTGGTGTAGTGGTTAGAGTGTTTGACTAGGCCTGGGAGACCTGGGTTCAAATCCATACTTGGACATGAAGTTCACTGGGTGTGACCTTGCGTCAGCCGCTGCCTCTTAGCCTAACCTACCTCATAGGGCTGTTGTGGGAATTAAATGAGGAAGCAGAGAACCATGTACACCTCCTTGAGCTCCTTGGAGTAAAGGTGGGATATGGATGCAATAAATAAAATAACAAATTAATAAATTAATAATGTTGTGTGACTACCATACACCAGATCAATGGCTTGCAAATGATAGCCAATTTCTCATTTTTTTTGTAGTGACTGACCACTGCATACATCCGTTAAAGAAATGGAGGGTACTCTTATACTAATTAACTAAAGCAGCATCACTTTTTAGAAGTGATATTAGTGATACACACCCACAAAGGGTTGTCATTTGTCTGTTTTGTCCTGGAC